TTGTGTGGGTGGATCCCCCCCCACCCCCCCCAACAATCTGGATTCGACAACGGTAAAAATTTAAAAAAAAAAAAAAAAAAAAAATGTCAAGGTCGTACACATAGTACGAACGGAACTTTCATTTTTTTACAAAATTTTTAACTTTTAATTCGACTGATTAAGATGATAATGACAGAAAAAAAAGTAAAAAGAAAATCAATTAACAAAAACAACAAAAAAAAAATTACTAAAAAAAGGATTTTTCAATTTTTCTCTTATATTGGTTGATCAAAGACTTTGAAAACTTTTCATCGATTCCATAAGATCGACCAATAAAAAAATTGGTGTATAATAACGTTTTGTAATTGGTTTGGATAATGATGGTTGTGGACCAAGTTGATCACAAAGTGTTGTTGTTTCATCAAAATCACCACAAACAAAATTAACAAAATTACCGGTTAAACCACGTATTGTATCCATAATTAATTCATCATTATTTTCTTCGGAACAAACAACATCATCAAGTACGATACGTGCACATTTCATACCTTCAACATAATTACTTTGTTTGAACAGAGGCAATAAAATGAAAAAAAAGACAAACAAACGGTTAAAGGGTTAATTAAAACAAAAAAAAATACAGCCCAAAAATTTCAACAACTTACCAACAAGCATATTTAATTTTATCTTTATCATTTTTAAAACCAACCAATTGTTTTGTTTGATTCATAAAACGACCGATACAATGATCAGCACGATTAATATGTTTATTAACACAAGGTGCAACCGATAATAATTTGGCTAAACGTTTTGTATTTTTTCGGCAATAAAGTTTAATATTTTGTTTCAATGTATAGATAATAATTTTAGCTAAATCGGCCATTTCTTTTCGATAACATTGTAGAAAAAATTGTTCAGTTTCACGTACTAAACGTACTGATTCTCTATATTGAAAAAAAAATGATTGATAAATAGAACGGAAAGGAAAGGGTTAATTAAATTTAACAATTTTTGTTGAAATTTCCGGTAAACTTACTTGCAAAATCCTTTAGCTTGATCAAAATTTTCGGGCAATTTCCTGGCAAATGGTCCGATTGGCATCATTTTAGCAACTTTTAATTCAATTTGTTTTAAATGATTTTCCGTACAATTTGGTCTATGTTTTAAAAGATAACGTGATTCAGCATAACCAAAATCAATGTTGATAAACAACCAAAAAGAGATCAACAACAAAAACAGATTTAATTTGTTTGAAATCATCATCATTATGAGTGTTTTTGGAAACTTTTTTAAAAGTCGAAAAATTCAATTCAAAAAAAATTCATTTGGGGGAAAAAAACAATGGAACAATCGTCGAACGGTGGTGGATGATAATCTTGTTGTTGATGGAACAAACACTTAGATAAACAAATTGAGCGCGCGCTCAAAAATGTTTCAAAAAAAAATTCATTGAACAAAAAAAAATGATTCTGAAATATCTTGTTTGGGCTTTTTATTCTCATTTTTTTTTCTGTTGAGCACAGGAAAATCTCAATCGATCATCACAGAAACAAAACAAAAAAAATCCTTATCTTTGTTTTTCTCTCACCTTTTTCCAAAGAAAAACGATTGAAACTGAAATATTCAAAGATAAAATGTATAGGAATGAATTCATGACCTTCGTTTTTTTTTCTTCTTGTTTTTTTTGGAAATTTCACCACCATCATCATTTTTGGAATATTTTATTTGCCAAAAATTCATTTTTTCTGACTTTTATTTATAAAATTTTATAAATAAATCTAATTACACATTACGAGGGGGAAGAGAAAAAAGATTACAAATTCGCGTAATCCATTCCACTTACCTTATTCTTATTCGGAATTTTGTTTGTTTTCCAAACAAATTATTCAGTCATGTCAAGGTCAGGATGATTTTTTTTTCCAAAATTAAAAATTCCATTTGCAATCACATTCTTTGATTATCGTCATCAAAACATCCAAATTCTGTCATAATTTTTTTTTTCTGTTTCTATATTTAGAAACAAAATTGATTAATTAATTAATGAATTTTGGGGAACAATTTCACCACCACCATCCATTCTAAATGACGTTGAAACAGAAAAAAAACAAAAACAAAAAATGAAACAATTTGTTTTTTATTAGAATTTCACTTTTGACAAAAATTATTCATTATCGCGTTCGCTCGTCATCATCGATATATTCGTTCATTACTAATTCGATTCGAATGTTTTCCAAAATCGAACGTTCGATTCGAACGCGCGTTTATAAATAGAACTATTTTAACTCGTTCCTGTTACAACTGTGGAATGTAATTTTTATTAAATTATAAATGTTAATTAAGTTTTATTAAGTTTGTTTTTTTTTGTTTGTAATCTGGATATAAAATCAATGAATTTTTATATTTTATCAAGTGATTTTTACACTTGAAATAAATCAATCGATCAATAATTAATAAAAAAAATGGAACGAACTGGTGATGATGATGATGATGATAATAGCGGTAGTGGTGGTGGTGGTGGTGGTGCTGTTGAAGGTGTTGCTGATAATGTTGATGAAAAAATCCGCGGTGTTGGTGTTGATGTCGATGTTATTGATAAAGAAATTGATCTTCAACAAAAACAACAACAACAACAACAAGAACAACAAGAAGAAAAACCACAAGAAAAACAACAACAACAACGTGATGATGATGATAATAATAATTTATCTGTTGTTGTCCAACAACAGCCATTGCCATCTAAATTATTACAAGCGTTCAATAACCTTAATAATATCAATGATAATAATGATGCTGATCCTGTTGTTGCTGTTGGTCCTTTATCAGGTATGTTTATTGATTTTTTTTCTTAAAATTTCCAATCTTATCTTATGTTTTTCCTTAATGTTGTTTTTTTCTAAAATCCTTGATGTCATTTTTTCTAACAAAAAAAAATAAAGATAATTTTAAAAGTATTAACAAAAAAATACCCTCTGTACTTCAACCATCGGATTTATGGTTAAAAAAACAATATCCATCATTGGATATGGAAAAAATTTTCATGGCACAACCACCAGAACCATCGGAAAAACCATCGGAAAAACCATCACCAATAAAATTACCATCACCAAAAATATTACCACCAAAAAAAATATCACGATCACCATCATTAAAACCAAGAAGATCATTGAAAAAGATTCAAAAAATAACAGAAAAAACTAGAAAAAAAAGAGCTAGACCGAAAAAATCGTTAAATATTTCATCCACTTATAAAGAAACAATGGCAAATGATGATAAATTATTATTATCAGTAGAAAAAGATAATAGTGTTGTGTTTAAAGTACGAAGAAATCGTACCAGAAATCGTACCAGAGAGTAAGATTCTTTTGTTTTTTAAATCTCTGAATATTAAAATAATTTTTCTGTATTAAATCTAGCCGACGAAGAACTAGACAAAGAGCTATTGTAAATAAAACACCATCAGTAACATTGGCTAAATGTTTAAAAAATCCAAGAAAATCTATTAGAAAAATTGAATCATTACGAACACCATCAATGATATTGATGGCTGCTATGAATGATGCTGATTCAATTAAAAAATTAATAACTATAATGAGTAAACACAATAATTTTAATAATAATAATGAAATGGAAAAATCAAGAAAAAAGATCGATGGCCGACGACAACGAAGAAAAAAAGTAGATGACAATGATGACAAAGAAGAAACTATTCGTTCACTTTTAACTAGAATCGATAATAATGAAAAAAGTAGAAAAAATAAAACACGACAAAAGGATATTCATTCATTATCATCGATGATATTCCGGAAAAATCAACGTCCAATGTCGAAAATTTTTTGTTCAGATACAAAACAGCAACAACAACAACCACAACAACAACAACAACAACAACAACAACGTAAATATTCATTGTTAATGATGAAACGACTAGCCAAAAGAAGGGCAACAACATCATCATATCCAAGAACATTGATTAAGGCGATAGAAAATTTTCTACAAAATCATCAATAAATTAAAAAAAAAATCAAAATCAAAATCAAATAAATAAAAACTACACAAAAAAATATCATGGAAAAAAGAAAAATGTTTTTTTTTTTGTTTTTTTAAAATGTTTTTAATAAGTGCGTCATATTTATCTCATATCAATATTTTGCCCTAAGAAAAATGAAAATCATGTTTATTAAATGTACAAAGTAATAGAAGAAATTCATCAATATCCATTGTACGTGCACGTTTCATTTGAAAATTTATTTCGGTTAGTATTGATGTTATTTTATCTTTGATATTGAATTCATTACCAACAATATCGATATTTTTCATTGAACAATGTACTAAATAATTATGTCGTAGCATTTCCATAACCGATGTTTGATGAAATAGATTTGATAAGGTTTTATTTTTACGTAGAAAACATATACGTAACATACCATCCCATTCTTTATAATTAATTTCTGGTGGTGGATTAATCGGTTCTAAACGTATAACGGATGATTCAACTTTTGGTGGTGGACGAAAATTATTTTTACCAACTTTCATTATAATATCAACACGTGCTAATAGCTGTGTGTTTACGGATAAACGACAATATAATTTATCACCCGGTTTTGCAACTAAACGTTGTGCAAATTCACGTTGAAACATTAATATTGCACAACGAAAAAATGGTCGATGTAATAATAATTTAAATATAAATGGTGATGATATTTGATATGGTAGATTAGCAACACAAACATCAAAAAATGGTAAATCTTTACGAAGAACATCACCAATAATTATTTTTAATTTTGATTGCATTGGACTATTTTGTACACGTTTTTGTAATTCGGCTACTAAACGAGTATCCACTTCACAAGCTATAACTTGTTTACATTTTTCCAATAATTTTACAGTCATATTACCGGTACCGGGGCCAACTTCCAGTACAACATCACTTGATCGTAATGCAGCCTATTTTGTTTTTCGTTTGAATTTGTAAACAAAAAATCAATTTAAAAAAAATAGAATAAATTAATCATACCTTTTCGACCATACTGGTAACAACCAATGGATTTTTAAGTATATGTTGTCCTAAAACTTTATTAAATTGTATACCTTGTTTTTGTATTTCATTATGTTGACGAGATTTTTTTTCCGTCTTTATTTTTGACATTGTTTTGTTCAAATTAAAAACATGAAAATTTCAAAAAAAAAATGATTCAAATCGATGAAACATGTGTTTTTGGGATTGACAAAATCACGTGGCATTTTGTTACGTTCTCTATGAATGTTACTCATATGATTCCACATTTTTTTGGCTGCAGCCGTTTTTTTATTCTTCGTTCGCGGCATTGCATTTCTTTTTTTTGATTATCATCATCAAACAACATTGAAAGATTACATTGCAAAAACAAAGTGAATTTTTTTCATTTCTAACTAAACTATGCTATTGGATTCAATGCCGACTGTTGCTTTCGATTATGATGTTGATACATCAGGCATTGGCGCCAGTATTACAACAACAGGCAATAATAATAATGTTGCCGCTGGTGCTGGTATACAGTCACCACCGCCAACAACAACAGCCGATAATTCGATAAGAATGATGAACAACAATCCGATGATGACATCTTTACCGGCCGAAACAATGTCATCAGGTGGCCATAATCTTGATATTATTACCAATTATGTTGATTCATTTTTACAAGCTGATTCATTTTTTCCACAATTAACTGAATTATTAAAAGTTTCGCCCGGCTTTGTATCAATATCTGGACGACGTGATTTTGATTATCCAAATCTAGAAGAATATGGTAATTCATTGAAAACATTATCACAATTTGTTGGCCTAAAAACAATTCCATTACCAAAACTTTTGATCGAACAATTCGGTCAAATGGTACAACGTTGTGAAATGGGAATATTTACCAGTATTGGACGTGCTTGGTTGGCTATCGATACAAATGTTTATTTATGGAAATATGATACCGGTACGGATGTTGCCTATTATGATGCACTTTCACGTATGATAATCAAAGTAGAATTGGTTAAACCAAAACAAGGTGTACTTAAATCACATATCAAATATATTCTTGTATTGGTAACGTTTACCGAAATTATTTTATTGGGTATCACATTTAGTGATTTAAATAATCCGGATGGTGATTTGGGTGATTTATTGGTAATGCCTGATCCATTATTCACCATACCGACCGATAATGTTGAAGTAAAAGTTATTCAATCTACGGATGATGGTCGTATATTTTTTGGTGGTAATGATGGTTCATTATATGAAATTCATTATCAATCAGATAATGGTTGGTTTGGTGGACAAAGTTGTCATAAAATTAATCATTCAATAAGTTCGTTTGCATTTTTGGTACCAAAAATATTGAAAAATTCTAAACAAATACCAATCATACAGATTGATATTGATAAAGCACGTAACATACTTTATACATTGAATGAAGAAGGTGATATTGAAGTTTATGATCTTGGTATTGATGGTAAATCCGTACAACGTATTATACAAAAATCCATACAATCAATAACACGTGAAGCAATTGCAGCAGCATCTGCTATTGATGAAATAAATTTCAAATCGATTGTATCGATAAATTCAATTGAAGAATGTGAATCTATTTATATAAATTTGGTTGCTGTTACTAAAACTGGTGTACGTCTTTATTTTACGGCTACATCGTTAAATTCACCGGAACAACGACCATTCGGTCTGTCATTGTTGCATATTCGTTTGCCACCGGGTTTTGCCGCTTCTTGTGGACAACATCGTCCAACTGCCGTTCAACAAACTTATTATAAAAAAAGAAATTTTATTTTCATTTCATATCAAACTGATAACAAAGATACTTTGTGGTCATTAAGTTCAGATTCATTTGCATTTCGTAATGAATTAAGTGAATTATATACAATAATACCATTGAAAACCCGGATATGGTCAATGGCTGAAGAAACAAATATTATTGAATATAAACCATTTCAAAGTCTATTTTTCAAAAACAAAACATTTGTATTGGAAACACCGGCCATTGTAACACAGCATATTGAAATGCCAAGAAAATTTATTTTCCTCACTACACAAGGTGTTATAATTGGTTATAAACCACGTTTAATTGATCAATTGAAACAATTATTAATTGAAAATCAAGGTTATGATAATGATTCGGTAAAATCATTTTTTCATTTACATAATTTTAGTTCATTTCAATCGAATGCATGTGTATTTGCATTAATATTAGCTTGTGATTCACAACCAACTGGTGAAGAGAAATTAATTGAATGGGCAACATCAGCATTTTTTCATTATGGTACGGAAATGTTACAACAAACATCATCAACATTTGGTATGGCACAAACAACATCAACACCATTTATATCGACACCATTGACTAGTCCATCATTGATGCCAGTAATTTCAGGCAGTGGTGATAATCTTCATCATTTACCAAGTCCTGTACGTCCTGCATCATATGATAGTCCATATAAAACAAATGTTATGAATCGTTTTGAATTGTCACAACAACAACAACAACAAACACCATTATCATCGACACAATTTTCTCAACAACAACAACAACAATTTCAGCAACAACAACAACAATTTCAACAACAACAACAACAAACACATTATCCATTACAAAATTGTTCGGGTAAATGTCGTGGTCTTTTTATTTATTTTTCTCGTATTATTCGTCCGATATGGAATTTAAAAGCAATTACCGTTAATCAAAAACAAACACCAGAAGGAATTCAAGAATTACTTACCAGTAATATATCAGTTGATGAAATTAAAGTATATCTACTACGTTTAACATCACTTTATAGTTTTTTAAAGAAAAATATGAAATTTTCAACTATGGAAACAACTGATAAATATTTAAATTCATCATCAACAACATTTTCAATCAATGATCAACAATTAATTGAACGTAATCTAATATTTGGTTTATTCAAATTAATTGAACATTGTTTAGAAGTATTGAATCTATGGAAATTATTATGTATACATCAATTTCATGTTATAGTTGCCAATTTAACTAAAGATAAACAAAATCAATTGGCTAATATGAATTTTAAAGAATTAATTGTATATGGTTCTGAAATGACAACAATGTTGGCAAGTGCATTGGTACAACGTTTTATTGAAGATCATTCAACTACCGATATTATTAATCGTCGTTTACAAGATGTTTGTCCATCGATTTATAAAAATGAAAATGCATTACATGCAAAAGTACATGAAATGATATTGAAATCAAAATCCTATTCGAATGAAAATGATCGTAAAATTTTGTTGGATAATGCATTGAAATTATGTAAAAAAATTGGACCGAGAATTAATTTACAAGCAATTTGTGATCTATTTCAATCGATCAATTGGTATGAAGCAATTGTTGATATTTGTCTTTTAACTGGACAACAACGTGATCCACAATGTTTAGCATTACATTATTATAAAAATCATGATAAAATGGAAACAGATTTACAAGTAAAAAATATATATGATTCACGTATTGAATGTTATCGATTATTATTGGATGTTTATGGTCGTCTTGTACAGCAAAGTAAATCATTACTTTGTCAACGATCATCGGTTACGGCTGCTTCTTCGTCATCTTCATCATCGACAACAACAGCGATAGCGAATTATCCAAATCCAGATGATGCAAAAAAATATGCACAAACAATTCTTCATATGGCTACACAATCAAATGATGAATTATTTCATTATATACTTTATAATTGGCTTTATGAACATAATCAAATGGATAAATTATTGGAAATTAAATCATCATATTTGGAAACATATTTAAAAGAAAAAACTTCGGAAATTAATGATTCAATTGCATTAATGGATTTTCTATGGCTTTATTATGAACGTAATGGTCATTTTAATGCTGCAGCACAAATATTAGCCAAATTAGCTGAACAAAATTCCAATGAAATACCATTATATAAAAGAATTGAATATTTAAGTCGTGCTATTGTTTGTATGAAAAGTTTAGATGCACGTCTTATAACGAATGGTTCATATGGTTCGGCTGGTGAATTTTTACATACATTGGAAGAAAAAATTGAAGTAGCACGTATACAAATGCAACTGTTAACAACATTGGAAAAAATTAAACCACCAAGATATGAAGAAGCAATACAGATGCTTAATCAACAATTATTAAATGTAACAACATTATATCAGGATTTTGCCGAACCATTTAAACTATATGAATGTCAATTGAAAATATTACATTGTGCTGGTCATGATGATATTAGTTTGATTGAAAATATTTGGCATAATATTCTGGATAAAGAATTACGTTCGATTCGAATGGCTGATGTACAAACACGACAAACATTATTACGTAATAAAATCAAAGAATTAGGTGTACTTTATATGAATACGGAGAAATTTTTTCCATTAGGTAATTCAACCTCGTTCATTATTTTGAATTGAAATTTATTTTTTTTCTCTTTCGTTTTGTTTCTGATAGAATTGATAATAACCATATTGGAATCATCGAATCAAAATCAAACATATGAACCATATTGGCTTGTAGAAACATTATTGGAATTGAAAATTTCATTAATAAATTTGTTTGAAATTTATCATAAAATTTATAAATCAAGAATTAATCATAAATCTACTGGTGGTATTTTACTAGATCCAGTTGATTTATTGGATATTTTGATTTATTTGATTAATCAGAATATGAATTCAATCGATAGGTAAGATGTTTGTTTGTTTGTTTTTCATCCAATTTTTTATCAAATTTTCAAAAATCTTTTCCCCTTAGACATTTTGCATCGAAAGCATTGGATCTAATTTCTGGCTATATCAATGATTTGCTTTTATTTTCATCTGTTTTCGATTCAACCGATACAAAAGTAACAAAAATTCGTCAAGAATTGAATCGAACAAAAATTTATTTGGAACGTTATGTGAAATGAGCAACGTTTTACAAAAATCAACCTACATTGGCTGTGTATATCATTGCATCACTTGAATAATTTTTTTAAAATTAACATTACTAATCGGACTACAGATAATAATAATTCGCTCACATAATAGGCAGAAATTGAAATTTTTTATTGAAAACATTTTTTTTTAAATTATAAAATAAAAACTTTTTCCACTACAGATGGCAGCACGGGTTCTTTGAAACGGAAAAAAAAAATTCAAACTTTTTTGAATTGCAATTTTTTTTTTTTTTTTTTTTTTTTTTTAATTTTATAACCTGCATTGATTAAAAAAATTAATTAAAGT